TGAAAAAGCATTTTCTATTTTTTTCTTTTTTTTTTATATAAACATTTATTTTATGCAAAAACTTGTACATAATTTAATTTGATTTTGTTACAGTTGCGTATATGTATATACATATATATGTTGTATATATGTATGTATTATTTATTTGAACATATGTGAATAGAATTGCAAGAATTCAGTGAATCTGCAATGCGTATGATTTCTGATGTTATTTATTATGTTGAATGAATGAATATTATTTGCAATAGATGTTACCCATTAACATTAATGCATTAAAGCAATGCAAGTGCTTTAGCTTATTCCTATGCACTACATGATTACATACATCATAACATATTGTAGTGGCTGTATATAGTTTACTCACAATCATCAATTGTATTGAATTTTGAAATCTGATCAGCGATTATGAATTTTAATTAGGCAGCACACCAAAAGATTTGATAATTCTGGCGGTGCGCATTGCTACGATTGCACGATTGCCGTTACTAGCATAAATATACATATTATAGTAATTAGATAGTATTATCATTAAAATAGTTAGTTTATCATGTAATTTGTTGATATATTGAGTATGTCGCTTCACATCTTTTGCATTTTAATTTCATATTGTGGTTGGCTGCTGCTGCCTAACATTGCGATTCAATGTAATTTTAGCTGGCTTCAATTTAAGTTTCTTTTTTGTTTTTACTTGCATTTGATTTGTGCCGTTATAAAAAATAAGTTTACATTTAACTTAGTCGCAATATGTTTGAAAGGCACACTAATTACATATTTGTTTCAATTTATAGTTTCTCATTTAGCTGCATTATGGAAAATTCTTTAATTTAAAATAAAATGTAGCCGTTTTTCTTTTGTACCATAATTTAAATGCAGTTTCCTTTTTACTTTTTTTTTATTTTTCTTTTTTAACGATATGCTTTCTATCGCATATTTGCTATGATTGTTAGCTGCTAATGGGTTGAACGTGTTAAAAGAGTTTCTCTATCAAAGCAAGAATTTTTCTTAAACAAAAATATTTGTATATTAATTTAACAATTCATAACTGCTAACATTTACTTTAAATTAAAGAATTCTGGTATTATATTTTATTATATATGTTCAAAAATGGTTTAACTATTCAAATTGTTTAATTTTTTTTATATATTTTTTTTTATTTTTTGTTTATGTTTTTTTTATGTATAATACATTGTGCTTGAGCTCAATAT